GGTGGGTGGGTGGGTGGTTTCTTTCTGCTTTTGATAGAGGAGGAAGGAAATGGAATTCTTATCTTGAAATTTCTGTTGTCAGGCCATCCCTCAGGCAGCCACTTTGGCATTCCGATTATGCTGAGCTCAAAACAGTCAAGGCCCAAAAGACTCAGGGAGGAAGAAGCTTTGACAAGCCCCAGCCCCAAGAATTTAGACAGAGGACCAGCTCCAGGAAGACAAGCATAGATAACCATACTAGAATATGAACTAGAGGTGGCAGACAGGGAGGAACTTAGCAAATTCTGTTAAAATTCCTCTCTATGTCCCATTTTTCTGTATGGCCCAGCAAACACTTTTTACCATTTACTCTTTTTCATCTTCCTGGGAATTGACTTCCTTCCCTTTGAAGTCCTAGGCCCCTATCCCCTTCTCCTTATTTCAAGATGACATATATACCCCATTTTGCCAGACTGTCTTTGGAATTTCCATGAATGTGGATTTAATTTGTACAAAATTAAATCTGATTTTCTCCTGTTAATCTGTCTTATGTCAATTTGATTCTTAGTCCAGCTAGAAGGATCTTGAAGAGCAGAGGAAATTCTTCTTCCCAACATCTTCTAAGTAGTTTGCTTGCATCTAAGTAGTTTGCTTGACCCTCTGTAATGGGTTTCTCCTGCTGCAGTCACTGAAATTTTAAAAGCACAACTCCTCTGGTCCAGACAACTGACTTTCTTCCTTTCAGGTCTCACCATGTCCAGAGTCTTTGCACAGGCTCTGCCCTCTGATTAAGCTCTCCTTTCCTGTGAGGAGCTCCTACTCACCTGTAGATCTCTGCTCAATCATCACTGTGTGGGAGAAGCCTTCCCTAATACTGGCAACAGCCCCCATTATAGGTTACCCTTGCACCATGCGTCTTTTTTTTTTTTTTTTTTAAACAAGTCATCGCTGCTGCAGTGGTATTTGGAGAATAATTTGATTGTTGGCCTCTAAAAAGGAAACTCTTTTCTCTCTCTACTGCACCAACTAAAGGAAGACTTCTCTGTTCTTTTCTACTCAAAGTGAACTTATCTGACACTAAATGTGTGGCTTTCCCCCACACACACCAACCAATTCTCCAACACCAGCTAGGTGTCCTACAATTCAATGAAAACTTGACCCTATTTACTTAGAGTTAGTGCCAGATCTCACAAGTGAAGGGCTCAGTTCCAAAAGACCGCTCCCACCTCAGAGGCCTATTGTAAGTCTGGGCCTGCCATACTTCTGACCAACCCAGTATAGTCTAAGAACTCCACAACTGTCTCCTGGGGGTCAATAATTTGCTAAAATGCCTCACAGAGCTACGGAAAAACAGTTCACCTACTACATTACTGGTTTATTATAAAAGGAAACATCTCAGGAATAGTCAAACGGAAGAAATGGACAGGGGAAAGTATATAGGAAGGGGTGTGGAACTTCTTTTTTTTTTCTTCACATTTTAAACTTTTTATTTGTATATTAAAAAATTGTGCATTCCAGTAATTAAAATCATACAAAGAAAAAAGTGGCACTCTGATTAAACTGCATCGTACAGCCTGCCAGATACCTTGGACCAACTTAGTTTTTACTGGTCGTCCCACCCAGCTTCTTCCTTCACCAGCATACAAGTTATTTTCCTTCCCTGCCAGCCAGACAGGCAGATGGAAAGGAGGCTTGGCGTTCCTGGTCAGTAGTTCAGATTCTTTGATGTGAAAAGGAGCAGCACAGTCATTTAAACTTGATCCAACCTCTTTGCATCTTACAAAGTTAAACAGCTAAAAGAAGTAAAATAAGAAGGCAATGCTTGTGGAATGTACAGAGCATATTGGCGGCGCGCGCCTCATTAGGATTCGCCTGCTTGCTTCTCCTGTTCAATCGTTTCTTTTGAAGGCAGTGGATTTTTCTCTTGTGTTTCTGTCTTCTTCAATTTCGACTTATCGAATTTCTCAATCTCAGCCATATTGGGTTTGCCAGACATGGTTGCAGAGGAAGCGGAGCGAGGTGCGCGTGCAAGTGAAGTCCCGTCTGCTCAGTGGCCGCTGCCGAATCAGGTGTGGAACTTCTGTGCCCTCTCTATGTGTACCACCCTCCTAGCACCTTCATGTGCTCACCAGTCTGGAAGCTCTCTGACCCCTCTGGTTGGGGTCTTTTTATGGAGGTATCATTATGTGGGCATGACTGGTTCATCATTAGACATTGGTGACAGAACTTTATCTCCAGCCTCTCTCCCGCCCTTGGATGTTGGGGGTAAGAGGTAGGGAATTTGGGGAAAATAGGGCTGAAGTTCCAACCCTCTAATCATTTTGTTGGTTCTCCTGGCAACCAGCTCACCTGTCACCGCATTAGCATACAAAAAGATACTTATCTCTTTGAAGATGCCAGGGATTTTAGGAGATGTGTGGAAGAAAAATTGGAGGAAAACCAAATCTATATTTCTTATTATCTCTCAATATCACAGCCTCTGTCATTAGAATTAAGCACCCCAAGGACAGAGACTTCTGGTCACTGCTCTGTTTTCTGTGTTCAGCACAGTGTCTGGTACTCAGTGGTGCTCAATAAATCTTGCTGAATGAGTAAGTAATGAATGCGTGCATGGTTGAGTGAATACCTGCCTGACATGGTACAGACACCTTCTTTTCTCCCTCACCAAGGCTTCTGTATTTATGAGCTGTATTAGCAGCTCATAAACCCCAAACCACACAGCTTTGGGTGCTGCATTTGATGGATTTTGACGTGAAATGTGGTTTCCTGCCCTAACAAGCTAGTGGTTTCCTTTACCTGCTGGTTGAGCTCATGAGGTGAAGCCTTTTTCTGCACATGGATTTGGGAAAGTTCTTACTGAGAGTCCAGACTCCAGATCTTTTGGGGGTACTCCTGGGCTTGATTTTGTCACTGGTTTAAAGAGGGAAGGGGAGCTAATTCTAATTATTTCACCATTTGGACTGGCTTAAAGGAGAGGGGGTGGGGCACAGATTCATTCTAAACCCTGGCGGTCGTTAGTATCCCCTCCCAATCTTTGTCTGCTCTGAAGCTCCCCCAACCTCAAACCACCCACTCTGAGGCAGACTAATCTTTTCCTCTGATCATCACATTCTAGGGGCTTCTCTCTTCTTCTCACCTCATTCTCACTTGGAAGAGGCACTTTCCGTCCTCCCCCACTGCACACCTCCCACCCCCAAGATGGGGGGTCTCAGAATTTTCCCTGAACTCCTCACAGTGGGTCACACCTCTTTATACTCACCGAACACTTATTTAAAATTTCTTCCACTCCATTGTGTAATACATCCTTTCTCATTAAAGAACTTTTGGAAAATTAAGACAAGCAGAAGAAAACCAAGCCACTTAAGATATCACCTGCCCCACAAAAACCAGCATTAATATTTTGATATTTTTTCTTCTAAGTTTTTCCTTGCATTGGTGTTTTTAAAACGTAGTTGTAATCTAACATAAGAATAAAAAAAAAAACAAAAACGTAGTTGTAATCATACAGCACATTAGATTTCACTTTCTACTTTGCTTCACTTGTGATATTGTAGAGGAGGGAAAATAATCTTCACTATACCTTTCTAGATTCTGTGGCTGAGACCCTCCACCTCCCGTAACAAAAGATGAACAAGAGAAAAAAAAAAAACCCAGAAGTTTAATAACATGTATACCTCCTGTATACATGGGAGATACCCTGAAAACTGAGTAAAACTCCCCCAAATGGCCCAAGCCACCGTCTTAAATACCATCTTCAGCTAAAGGCAAAAGAAAGATGTTTTGAGGGGGAAGCTTTTTATGGGAAGTTATCAGGAAAAGTACAGCAAAGGTGTAGTTGTCATGTAGATTTAAGTTGGTGATGAGATTCTTTTGTAATTCAGAGTCATCCTTCTCTTCCTGGTATAGGAGGGAGACACCTGTACATATGGAGATTTCCTTTGTAAATGTAATTGTCCCTTACAAAAGGGACAAAGGATCTTCTTCTGCATCTGTTGTTTCTTTAAAATAATCAACTGAACAATCTTTATGCTTAAGAGGCATATTTTGGGGTGGCACAGTCAACTACCCTTCAAAGTTATTACATTTTCTAGCTTTATAACCCATAATTTCTAATGTCTGTGTTCACTTCACCTTTCCCTGTGGTTAGAGTCTTAGGTAGTTTCCAGAATATCACTATAACAAATGGCAAAGTAATGCATATTTTTGTATGTAAATCTAATGGTATCTTTTTTTTTAAAGATTTTATTTATTTATTTGAGAGAAAAAGAGAGAGACAGAGAAACAGCATGAGAGGGGAGAGGGTCAGAGGGAGAAGCAGGCTCCCCGCTGAGCCGGGAGCCCGATGTGGGACTCGATCCCAGGACTCCGGAATCACGACCCGAGCCGAAGGCAGCCGCCCAACCAACTGAGCCACCCAGGCGCCCTAATGGTATCTTTTTGAGACAATATGATTCTTGGGTGCCTGGGTGGCTCAGTTGGTTAAGCGACTGCCTTCGGCTCAGGTCATGATCCTGGAGTCCCGGGATTGAGTCCCGCATCAGGCTCCCTGCTCGGCAGGGAGTCTGCTTCTCCCTCTGACTCTCCTCCCTCTCAGGCTCTCTGTCTCTCATTCTCTCTCTCTCAAATAA